TCTATCAATTTACATTGCCACCAACAGTGCAAGAGGGTTCCCTTTACTCCACACCCTTTCCAGCATTTACTGTTTGTTGATTTTTTCATGATGGCCATTCTGACTGGTGGGAGGTGATACCTCATTGTAGTTTTTTTTTTTTGCAGTACGCAGGACTCTCACTGCTGTGGCCTCTCCTGTTGCGGAGCACAGGCTCCGGACGCGCAGGCTCAGCGGCCATGGCTCACGGGCCCAGCCACTCCGCGGCATGTGGGGTCCTCCCGGACCGGGGCACACACCCGTGTCCCCTGCATCGGCAGGCGGACTCTAAACCACTGCGCCACCAGGGAAGCCCCCTCATTGTAGTTTTGATTTGCATTTCTCTAATGATTAGTGATGTTGAGCATCCTTTCATGTGTTTGTTGGCAATCTGTATATCTTCTTTGGAGAAATGTCTATTTAGATCTTCTGCCCATTTTTGGATTGGGTTGTTTTTTTTTTTTGATACTGAGCTGCATGAGCTGCTTGTATATTTTGGAGATTAACCCTTTGTCAGTTGCTTTGTTTGCAAATGTTTTCTCCCATTCTGAGGGTTGTCTTTTCGTCTTGTTTATGGTTTCCTTTGCTGTGCAAAAGCTTTTAAGTTTCATTAGGTCCCATTTGGTTTTTTTTGGTTTTACTTCCATTTCTCTAGGAGGTGGGTCAGAAAGGATCTTGCTGTAATTTGTGTCTTAGAGTGTTCTGCCTATGTTTTACTCTAAGAGTTTTATAGTATCTGGCCTTACATTTATGTCTTTAATCCATTTTGAGTTTATTTTTATGTATGGTGTTAGGGAGTGTTCTAGTTTCATTCTTTTGCATGTAGCTGTCCAGTTTTCCCAGCACCACTTATTGAAGAGACTGTCTTTTCTCCATTGTATATCCTTGCCTCCTTTATCAAAGATAAGGTGACCATAGGTGTGTGGGTTTCTCTCTGGGCTTTCTATCCTGTTCCATTGATCTATATTTCTGTTTTTGTGCCAGTACCATAGTGTCTTGATTACTGTGGCTTTGCAGTATAGTCTGAAGTTCAGGAGCCTGATTCCTCCAGCTCTGTTTTTCTTTCTCAGGATTGCTTTGGCTATTCGGAGTCTTTTGTGTTTCTATACAAATTGTGAAAATTTTTGTTCTAGTTCTATGAAAAATGCCATTGGTAGTTTGATAGGGATTGCATTGAATCTGTAGAATGCTTTGGGTAGTAGAGTCATTTTCACAATGTTGATTCTTCCAATCCAAGAACATGGTATATCTCTCCATCTGTTTGTGTCATCTTTAATTTCTTTCATCAGTGTCTTATAGTTTTCTGTATACAGGTCTTTTGTCTCCTTAGGTAGGTTTATTCCTAGGTATTTTATTCTTTTTGTTGCAATGGTAAATGGGAGTGTTTCCTTAATTTCTCTTTCAGATTTTTCATCATTAGTGTATAGGAATGCCAGAGATTTCTGTGCATTAAATTTGTATCCTGCTGCTTTACCAAATTCATTGATTAGCTCTAGTAGTTTTCTGGTAGCATATTTAGGATTCTCTATGTATAGTGTCATGTCATGTGCAAACAGTGACAGTTTTACTTCTTCTTTTCCGATTTGGATTCCTCTTATTTCTTTTTCTTCTCTGATTGCTGTGGCTAAAACTTCCAAAACTATGTTGAGTAATAGTGGTGAGAGTGGGCAACCTTGTCTTCTTCCTGATCTTAGTGGAAATGGTTTCAGTTTATCACCATTGAGAATGATGTTGGCTGTGGGTTTGTAATATATGGCCTTTGTTATGTTGAGGTAAGTTCCCTCTATGCCTACTTTCTGGAGGGTTTTTGTCATACATGAGTGTTGAATTTTGTCGAAAGCTTTTTCTGCATCTGTTGAGATCAAATTCTTAAATATGCACAAACGTATGATCTACAAAAGAAAAAACTAGGGACTTCCCTGGCAGTCCATTGGTTAAGACTCCACACTTCCACTGTAGGGCACGCGGGTTCAGTCCCTGGTTGGGGAACTAAGATCCCGCAAGCCACACGGAGCAGCAAAAAAAAAAAAAGAAAAAGAAAAACCTGCTAAATTGGACATGAACAAATCAAACTTAAGGATTTCAGCTTTTTGAAAGACACTATCAAGAAAATGAAAAGTCAATGCACATACTGGGTCAAAATTTTCAAATCACATGTCTGATAAAGCGTTTGTGATCAAAATATACCATGTACTCTCAAAACTTAATGATAAGAAAAGAATACAAGAAAATGGACAAAAGAGTTGAACAGACTTTTCACCAAAGATTTACAGATGGCAAATAAGCACATGAAAAGATGCTCAACATCATTAGGATAGTTGTATAGATCAATGCAATAGAATTGAGAGTCCAAAAATAACCATGCATCTGTGGTTAATTGATTTTTAACAAGGGTGCCAAGACAATTCAGTGGGGAAAGAACAGGTTTTTAAAGAAATGGTGCTGGGAAAACTGAGTAGGCACATGTAAAAGAAAGAACTTTGACCCTTACCTCATACCATATACAAAAATTAACTCAAAAAATGGATTACAGGCCTAAGTATAAGAACTACATTTACATATACATAAGCATATAAAACTTTTAAAAGAAAGCATAGGTATAACTCTTTATGATGTTGGATTAAGCAGTGATTTCTTATATAGGACACCAAAAGCAGGTGACAAAAGAAAACTAGTCTAATTGGATTTAATAAAAAATTTTAAAACTTTTGTGCTTTAAAGGACACCATCAAGAAAGTGAAAAGACGACTCCCAGAACGGTTGAAAATATTTGCAAATTATATACCTGATGAGAGATTTGTTTTCAGAATATATAAACACAATAGTAAAAAAGAAAATAACCCAGTTTAAAAATTGGCAAAGGATCTTCAAAGAAAATATACAAATGGCCAATAAGCATTAAAAGAAGTTCAGAACTTCCCTGGTGGTCCAGTGGTTAAGACTCCATGCTTCCCCTGCACGGGGCACAGGTCTGATCCCTGGTCGGGGGACTTAAGATCCCACATGCCACAGGGCGTTGCCAAAAAAATAAATAAATAAAATTAAAAAAATGAAGATACTGTCATGATGGCCAAAAAAAAGTTCAGCATCATTAGTTATTAGAAAATATAAATTAAAGCCACAGTGAGGTGTAAGCCACTTTACACCTGCTAGGAAGGCTGCCTATAATCAAAAAGGTGGACAATGACAAGTGTTGATGAGGACATGAAGCAACTTTCTCATTCATTGCTGATGGGAATGAAAAATTATACAACCATTTCAGAAAACAATTTGGTGATTTCTTATAAAGTTAAACATACATTTATGGATGGATCTAGAGACTGTCATACGGAGTGAAGTAAGTCAGAAGGAGAAAAACAAATATCGTATATTAATGCATATGTGTGGAACCTAGAAAAATGGTACAGATGAACCGGTTTGCAGGGCAGAAATTGAGACACAGATGTAGAGAACAAATGTGTGGACACCAAGGGGGGAAAGTGGTGGGGGGGGGATGGGCATGCGATGAATTGGGAGATTGGGATTGACATGTATACACTGATGTATATAAAATTGACAACTAATAAGAACCTGCTGTATAAAAAAATAAAATAAAAATCAAGAATAAAATAAAAAAAGAAAAATAAACATACATTTAGCATTTGCCCATCATTTTTGGTATCTTCTCAAGATCCAGGAAATGAAAAGTTCCCAAAAAACTTGTGAAAGAATGATTATAGCATTTTTAGTCATTGTAATGAAATGCTCAGGGAGAGAGAACATCCAACAAATGTCCATCAGTACAATAACATCAAAAACATGTGACGTATTCAATGCAGTGGAATACTTCTCAGCTTAGAACAACAAAAAAAGATTACATACAGGTAACAACTTGGAAACATCTCGAAAACATCATGCTGAGCAAAAGTAGACAGACACAAAAGGTTACATGCTGTCCATTTATATGAAGTTGTAGGCAAAAGTCTATATCACAGAAATTAGAACAGTGGTTACCTGGGATGAGGGGTACAGGGGAGATTGACTTCAAAGGTGCACAAGGAAACTTTTTAGTTGTTGAAAATATTCCATATCCTGATTGTGTTGGTGGTTACACAAGTGTATACGTTTGGCAAAACTCATAAAACTAGATTAAATTAGGTGTGTTTTATTGTGTGTAAATTAGACTTTATGACTAAAACTAAAAAAATAAACTTTATAAAGTTTATATATGACTAAATAAATATGACTAAAACTAAAAAAATAAACTTTAAAAAGCGTGTGTAAAAAAAGGCAAAAGGAAAAAAATATTTGAAAATAATACTGCATGTACAATATGACTGCTATTAAATATTTATTTATTTATTTAGTTTTGGCTGTGTTGGGTCTTCGTTGCTGCATGCAGGCTTTCTCTAGTTGCAGCGAGTGGGGGCTACTCTTCATTGCGGTGCACGGGCTTCTCGTTGTGGTGGCTTCTCTTGTTGCAGAGCACAGGCACTAGGCGAGTGGGCTCAGTAGTTGTGGCTCACGGGCTCTAGAGCACAGGCTCAGTAGTTGTGGCGTGCGGGCTTAGTTGCTCCGCGGCATGTGGGATCTTCCTGGACCAGGGTTCGAACCCGTGTCCGCTGCATTGGCCGGCGGATTCTTAACCACTGTGCCCCAAGGGAAGCCCTAATTTTTTTTTAACATAGGAAATGCATAAAAGTGTAACAGTACCCATCTTACTCATGATTTGGGGGTCAAAGAAGATTGTCTATGTCTTATGGTTATGATTTTTATATATATTATATATTATATATATATATAATGGTATGTGTATTATCTATGATCTATGTGTGGGCCTTGTAGTGTAGGCATAACATCATTACAGAGATGTTTTTCAAACTCTAACTTATGTTGGTGAACAATAACAAAACAGCTTAAATTTAAGCAAAAAAATAAAAATTATTCCACAAAAAAACAAATTAAGTTTTTTAAGGAAAGCTCTTTCTCCTGTTTTCTTTCAGCCTCAAGGTATTGCAGCATGCTGATTGAGGAAGGAGGATTGCAGCATTTATACAACATCAAAGAACATGAACAGACTGATCCTCATGTCCAACAGATTGCTGTGGCCATCCTGGACAGCTTAGAGAAACACATTGTACGCCATGGAAGACCACCTCCCTGTAAAAAGCAGCCCCAGGCCAGACTAAATTGATAGCTATAGGTAATTGGATAATTGAATCACAGAAATTCTTTTTGTGATAGGTTCACTTGGAATATCTTACCCTCTCTGATGTTTTGGGGGTTTCTACAACAAGAGTCATAAAGTGAGTATGGGATTGATAATGTACAGTACTGCCCATGTGAACAGTCTCTGATTTGTCTTGTGATTTTTAACTTATCAGATGAGTCTCTTCCTTGATCATTGCCTTTTAGGAAAATTTCCACATCCTTCAGTGTTTGAACTTACTTGTGCTTAAAATTCTACAGTTTTATGAGGAAGTTTGCACGGACCCTTAGGCCAGACTTTTCTGATCTTAAAGTCCCTTCAGTCAATTTGCAGCTTCAGATAAGCTGTTAACCTGATTTCTGGCACTGCTTCAGTTGTAAATTTTATATTGCTTCTGTATAAAATGCCTTTATTCTCTGTCTGTGTATCTTTTATAAGATGTCCTTCTTAGTGTGAAAGAATGGAAATCTGAGTCCTCTCCTTGTGAAAGCTACTCACTGGCTGGTGCTCGGATGGCTGGCAGAAAATATATTAAAAAGAAAAACTACTAAGGGAAAATAGAGTTTAGGAACTGGGAAAAGGTCTGCTCTTGTGGTATATAGTTTTTAAACTGGGACTGGCTAATCTTCTGGGGCCCACCCCTCCTGAGGCATTGCGCAGTAGCTTGTTCCTCATATTTATTCCTGGAGGCAAGGGTTGCTGCTTCCTACACAGACTGCTGGTTACTCTCTAGAAATATTTCCCCAAGCACCACAGTTTAAAATATTACAGCATTCTGCATTAAAGATTAACTGTCTGAATTTCTTTATGTCATATTGTTGTGAAAATGTGAATTTTACAAAAATCGTCTCTTCCTCAAACAGACCATCCTTTTACCTCTATTTCAAAGTCATTTTGTTCAGTGGAATAGAGACTACACATGGTATTACCTGCTCACTTAAAATACAATTAACAACAGTAGATTTTGCCATGAGAAGTTAATTTTCTTTTCTTTCAGACTACATGTATCTTAATATTTTCATGTTGGGGAAGGATATCCACATCTCACTGCCAAAAATAAACAAGAAGAATTAGACTACTGTTAAATGTAATGATTCTAGTTGCAGTGCATAAAAGGAAATATTTTGTGATGGGTTATTTTTTAGACAGTTGCCTTTCCTTTAAGAGAGTTGTTACAGTAAAGAATCAGTTGTCAATAATGGCAGTTGGGAGGCAGCAAGTCACTAAGAGAGTTATTTTTCATTAAACAAAAAAAAAGGCAAAAGATTTATACGATCTGAAGAGAAACCAGAGTATCCACCTTAAATTTTAGTTTGTGAATAAAGTTAACCTGCAGTCTTAGATGACTGCATCTTTTTCATAGATGGCCAAAATGTTTTCAATAGAGATTTTAAGTAATACGTTTAAAATCATGGTGATTATTCAGAAGCATTTTTATTTAGAAAGGAGCTGGCTCATTAGTATGCTGATAATATTTTTGACATACACATTTCATACCACTATCACAGTAGTCATACTTGAATTATTTGGTACTCCTTCACAGGAGTGAAAACTTAAACTAAATGAAAATAGATATTTAGAATCATTAAAAACCATATTAAATTATGGGTTAATTCTGACTTAACCAGTTTAAGGAATGTTTATAGGTGTGAGATAAATTTTCACAGATTATTTCTATTTCAGAGGAAATGGAAAATTCTTTTAAAAATTTCCCCCTTTTTCTGGGTTTTAAATATCTAAGGCAAAATGTAGAAAATAGGATGGCCTACAAAAGCTTGGAGTCGCTAGCTATGTAGAGCATTTCTAGGTCTTCTAGCTTGTGTAGTAGTTAAGGAAAAGCCTATTTGAGAAGTTTGGCTTCAAGTTTCTATTGTATCCTATTCAAGACAAAAGTACACGTTCCTTCTAGGCTAATCCTAGGTTTTTGTCTTTATGAATTGTTTTCAAAAATGGCTAAAAATGTATGGAAAACAATAAATCCCTTCATTACTCAGAATAACTTGTTGATAGATGAAGACTCAAATATATTGAAATTGAAATTGAAATTTGCTACTTTGAGCACTGGTAATGGCCAGATACTTTTGAATCTTAAAAGCAAAATAATTAGGCACATCCCAAATATATAAAAAATTTAGTGCCTTTGTGGTTGGGATAGCTCTTAAAATTGTGTATCTAATTATGGCACTGAATTGTCTATAAGGTCTTGAATCTGGCTATAATACAGTATATATGTATATGTATATATACATGTATATATATATATATATAAATTGAAATTATGAGGTGTAACTGGCCTGTCTCTACAGAAAGAATCTATTAGGCCTCCCGTTTGCATTTGTACACTAGAATGTAACAGAACTTGGTGCCTTCAAGGGTTACCTCTTCAGTGGCTTAGAGGTGCTGTTTCAAGCACAATTTAGACTAGGATTGAACCACTCATTGCTCAAATCATTGGTGTGCTCAGATATTGCAAATTATCACTACATCAGTCCACAAGCAACAGCAAGGTTTAGATCTACTAAAGGAAAAAGGAAATAGATCTACTAAAGGAAATGGGAAATGGAATTAGACTTTTTAAACTATAAGGACGCATGTGTAAATTTATTGAGTAAAACAAGAACAGTCTGAAATTAAAGCAAAAATAATTAGGGTATCTCATTCTTTCCATCAAGTAAGTTTTGCTGTTCTCTTTATACTCTAAAAAATCATTTTTTCCTTCTGCAGTTGAAAAGGAACGTAAATCAAATCAAGTAGTAATAAGGGGTTAATTTACTCTCTGGCCAAGGACTCAGTGGTTACTGATCTTAGTTGAGAATTAAAAAAGTCATATCAGACTCACAGATCCAGGAATTGACCTTAAATATTGCCGCTCCTCACCCTTGGACAGAAATGCCGTTTAGTGGCACTAGTCAATTTAAGTGAATTACCCAAGGTAGAGGTGAATCCCACAAAGCAACTATGGGAATTTAATTTCATGATATCTTTTGTTTGCAAGCTTCCAAAGAATCAAGGATTCATGTTTTAAAATATCGGTGCTGTATATCCAGCCTAGGAAGTTGATCTTGCTAGTGGGACCTTTTGAGTTGGCCCTTTTTCTCCCCAGTCACTTTCATTTGGCTATATTTTAAATTATGCCATGCTCAAGATAGTATTGGGCCATCATCTAGACCTTTGGAGCACATTTTGATGAAAACATATTTTATTATGGTTCATTATGTGCTAAATTAGGGTAGAATCGATTAATGAACCGTGGTTTTGGCTTAGTGCTTTAAAATGCCTGACACCCCACCCTGTCCCCCCATAGAACAAGGTGCAGCAATACCCAAGGTTGAAAAGAGGTCATGAGTAGCCAGGGAAATAAACTTACTTTGTTGTATATGTTGAAACCCACCCCTCTCCTGCCCTCTAATGGTCTGTTTACATTATTTGGTTATTGTGCAACTTTTATCTTGAGATAAACAGTATTATTAAACTGAAGGTGTAAGTTAAAGGCAATTTCATACTGTTGGCTGACGTGGGCAGTTTCATCTGTATGTTACTTATTTGGGGGCTTTATATGGCTAGGGCTTCAGAGTAGTGTTCCGAGATAGCTTACAGAGAGGTTTGCAAACTTATGGTTTCCCTCTCAAATCCATTGTAGCAGTTTCAAATGATTGTGCGGATATTGGATATTTAAATTTTACCATTTGCTTTGTATTGACACATTTTTCATTTTTTGTATTAACTCACGAATTGTTTATTTAAGTAATAATGCAAATCCAGACTTCATCCAGTGATGAAAATAGCGGTATGATAGGAAATTTTGCTGAGTGTGCTTTAAATGAGTAACTGCTTTATCTTTTTTTAGTATTTCATAGATTTTGTGTGACATGTACACTCCTAATTATGCATTCTTTGGTTTCCAAATCTTAACCTAAGACATTCTTATGTTAACTGATTGATAGCCTGAGAGAGAACTTTCTCTGCCTGTTTCTCCCCTCCCCCAATTTTTTTTGGGTAAATTGTGGGAAAATCAATGCTATTTCTCGTTTCTCTGGATGAAGCAAAGCTCCTTTGGACAGCACAACCTAACTGCATAGCTAGATAGAATGGCTATCGAGAATATTTAGAAAATCCAAATTTATCAAATTATGAGAAATCATAAATGTAGTTCATTAATAATATGTGCTTAATTTTGAACTTATTTTGGAAAATTGTTCAAATTGGGTTCTTTTAAGCTTACTTTAATCAGCTTAGAAGCAAGAAACTACTTTGCTAATGAAAGCTGAGACATACTTTCATAAAAGCAGGAAATTCTTGAGAGCATTTAAAAATGGGAGGATGTTATGTCAAGATTTATACTTTCAGACAGAATAAAATTTTTAAATCCCTGACTTTTGTAGAATTCCCGCTGTCAAATTCTCACTGACTTGTGAGTATGGAAAAAGCTATCTTTTGCTTGAATTCTGATGGAAGAGTTTAACTCCTTTTAAAGGATATGAAAAATTCATTGGAAAGTGTAATGTGTATACATTTCAAAGGCTGTCAATTGTCTGGACTGAAGGCACTCTTCTTACTGTGGCCAGATGAATGGGAGTGTCCTGTACATGAATCATGGTGTTTTAAATCAGGACATCACTTAGGTATTACTGTTGTGTATACAGATTTTTGTTTTGGGGATTTTTTTTTTTTTTGGCCTAAATAAATGTTACAAATTTTATGTAAAGTGTGTCTTGTCTACATTTATTCTGGGCATTTGCTTTAAAATTTAAAACTAATGCTTCAAGATTCAGATTCCTTGGTCATCGGTTTGTAACAGTTGCTTTCTGGAAAAGGCCAGTGGGTACTATTTATGTGTTGGAACTTGCATAATTTATAAATCCTTCAGAGAACTTAACAGTTTTGTGGAGAAGAGGAAGTGTCAAATAAACAGATAAATACTACATAACACTGTATTACAGACCAGTCCACGGTACTTGTTATAAAGCCACAGAGACTATACCTAATCCAGACTGGGCACCCATCAGACAGCCCAAGAACAGTTCCTAGAGAGCATATCTAGGTTGACAGTCATTCACACAACTATTGAGATAATTAACTGATATAATATATATTGTATGCGTGCATTTAGTGAGGGAGGTTACCAAAAAACAAAGTATAATATAAGAACCCCATGACCAGGAAGAATTCTTAGTGACTTTAGTTTCAGAAACGTCATTTTTATAGTTGAAGAAACTAAGTCATAGGTAAAATGACCTTGCCCAAATCACACAGCAAGTCAGTAACAGACTCTGCATTACAATTCTTATTTCCAAATTTACAATCCAATGGGCCCCCTCTCCCCCTATTATTGCATAATCGCATGAGATTGCTTAGCTCTTAGGGAATATGTGATTAAACATCAAATGAATGGTACAGAAAAGAATGTGCGCCAGATGGTCA